AATAGGTAATCTATTTGGAAATTTGACCAGCTGCTCGTGCATCTTCAATAACGTTCTTGATGCCCTGGGACCACGCTCCCAGCTCTCCTTCCAGCCTAACTATCACTTCTCGCACTTCTTTACCAACTTGCCCACCTCCATTGCCCTTCCCGTAGCCGATATAAAGCTCTTCACGGGCCCGTACGAGCGTCTGCAAAGCGAGCTTTAGGCGTTGAATCCCCGAAGGAGGGAAATGTGGTTGAGGGGTATCGGTTAGATCATGAGGTGAGGGTTCATCGACCGCCAGAAGCTTGCCCAGTTCTGCTAGAGCAACACCTCGAACCGGATGTCCAACGGGAAGGATATTTGACAATCCAGCGTTATATTTTGCGGCCGTACGGATCACTTCGTCAAGATATTCTTGGGTCAAGTTATCAGGCAAAGCCAGCAAGAGTAGCTCCATATGCAGTCTAGTCAGAGCAAGCAACGGATGTGTTGAGGGTGTCAATGCCGCCGATGTCATGATTGGGATCAGATTACTTGTCAATTGTCTTGATTTTGAGGGATCTACAATAGAGTACTCATCAATGGCCATATTTCTTGAGTGATCCTGACTGTTACCTTTGAATTGGAGTGACATTGCCTTTTCGAGCCCTTCGGAGCCTACATGAAGTGCGTCCAAGATTGCATCTGGAGACGTAATGACCGAATTGCACTTCCCACACCTTGGCGACTCATTTTCTTTCAGTAAGATTCAATCAGTCAAAGGACAAGATAGAAATTGATCATGAAACATACCTTCGGTCGGAAGAGGACATAGACCACCGCACGACTTGGGACAATAGACAGAGGCACGCGGATCGAGCTTTCCCTGGTTACTACAGGCCGAACATCGACATGTGAAGTTGTAGACGTCTTTCAATTCCTTTTGTCGTGCCTCTCGAGACACGGAAATATCCACATATGAAACATATACCTGTTCACCTGGTAAGATCTCACGTAGGGCGACCAAATGCATGAGAGGTTCTGTAGTCGTGGGTGCATCGGAGGCGTGAGGGAAAACCATGACGACATTTGGATCGCAGGAATGATTTACTAGAGCCATCGTGGGCGAGACACATACACCGATTGGTGATAAGGATGGGGATGTTAACGTGAAGGTGTTCGTTGTAAACTACAGAAAGTCTGTTAGATATTCCTAATCACTTCGTATGGACTTCACTTACACGCGATATAAGGTCAACCAGATCCCCAGCTGATGAAAGGCCAAACGGTGCAAGTTCTGTGGGAGAAGAAATTCCAAGGTAACGGACGACCGAGTGCGCTAGGTAGGTATGAGATTCGAAGGCTGATGGAGGTAACGAGGATCTATCTAGTAATACAAGACGTGAATAAAGGTCAAACATAAATTGAGGATACAGTACATACGCGACTGCATTCCATTAAATTCGCGTGTCTGTAGAAGCAGAAGAAATAAGAGGTTGTGAGCAGTAGATGGGGTGTTTCACTTACCCAAATACTTTCCAGCCCAAATTTTTGTATTCCCCATAACACACGTCCGATGCATCTGACCGCATCGCTCGGTAGGGCTAGTTCCGGTGAAGGTGCATCGACCTCCCATCGTTGTAGAGCGTTACATTCGAGTTTATGCATCGCCCAATCGGCATTTTGACAACTCTAACTGCACATCAGAATATGAACCTACACTCATCTGTGTAAAGAGGCCGACATACTGCATTGCAATACCATACTTTGCGACATTTTGTGCAACGCTTCAATCCATGGGGTGGAGCGGCACTTGCACAGAATGAACAGTAATGTTCTAGATGACTGCCCGAGAGTACACTGACTTGCGGCCTCACAGACAACAGGACGGAACCTGACATAGAAACGTGAATGAACAGAGGAACTTTATTCAAGTTCTATATTAGAAGAACGTGGTACCCACCAACATTATACTGAGTCTTGGCGTAAAGCCCCCTTCCTGTCTCCTCTGACTGTCTCACTTCTAGGGTGTCAGGTATATTCTGATACATTCCCAACAACGATATAGAGTGAGAGGTTGGCCCTTGAGATCTATCTGCAGACCGCGACCGGGGCACAATGTGCGAAGTTTGCGGTTCACTATCTGTCGAGATGTCTACATTTTTCTCTTGAGTATTGGTAGTGGATACAAAGGACTTTGTTTCCTTCGCTCTTCGTGATGATTGCAATTGTGCAAAGGACATGGTTGCAGTTGAATGAAGAGCTAGAGGTAAAGCTGTTGGGCGAAATTTCGAAAGCGCTCACCTAGTATGCAAGTTGGGTCGAAACTTCTAGAGTTTAGACCTATGATGATACGCTGCTAGTATTGCAAAGAACCAATACTATAATGTCTTCTTTGATACCAGCTCATCCAGTGTAGAAGGCGGTTTCGAAATGTATGGTAACAAGCTTCGCGTGACCACCTGCGAGGAGTACTGGCCAAACACATGCCTTCAATTACAGACTGGGATTTGGTCGAGCTATATACATGCACAGAATTGAGTATTACTCTGAGTGATAAGTGAAAATGTGGATCCCGATTATGTTCAAGGCGGTCTGCAAGGGATAAGCAGGTTGTCAAGATGCAAGGAAGGCAACAGTGTACAAACTGACGACGAAATGAGGCCAGCGTGCCGACGCCTTGAGCTCACCCATAACGACATCAGCCCACTATCCTCAATCATCTTGAATGCTTCGTCCGCATTTCTCTCTCTGGGTTTTCTTGTTTTTACACTTTCTTTCACGAACTACAGGCTACGATATATCCTCGGACTTTCCCACTACTTTAGACAACACAATGGCTTCAAATTCTAGCACATTCGACCCTACTACGCCTAAACCACCAAATTGGCCGGGTGCACACCCCTTAGATGTGGACAATTATCCAGTAGCCCCTCCGGATTTAAAGCTCGAACAGGTCCATATTTACGTCAGACATGGTAAGTGCGAACTATGGCCCTGTTCAAGTGAAGCTGACAAACAGGGCCTAGGCGAGCGTACCCCAGTCGGTGTTCGGATGGCTTCTCCACCTGCTTCAATACCAGAACATTGGTCATTATGCACGACAGCAAGACGATTCCGTGCTTCTGTGGCTAATACATTGAGTGGTCCTCATGATGACGAGCAACTACCCTTAAGAAAGGTGGTCGAACGACCTGATGGAACTGTGGTAGAAGGAGAGTGGTGAGCTATTCTATTACTTACTTTAATCCCTTCCCTTCGCTTATTCGACATCCTGCCAGTCTACTGGGAGAATTAACTGACCTTGGGAGACAGGTGAGCAAGTCCCTCGCTGTCTAATCGAGACAACATACGACTTATATTTGCGAAGACAACCTACGATTTCGGACATTCCCTTAGAAGACTTTATGTGGACCGGTATGTGTGCTTGTCCTTAACTCTGACCTCAAATCGAACATTGTATGCCAGCCTGGGATTCCTACCAGACAAAGTTCGCGGTAATGACGAAGTATACTTCCGTACGACAAATATGCCCCGAACGACCGAATCCCTTCAACAAATTATTCATGGATTATATCCTACCAACAAATGTTTCGAGGGGTTCGTCCCTCGTATTCGCGTTCGGTAAGTACTCCTCTCGAGCGATTCTCCTAATACTTATACAAGGAGATAGCAACGGAAAGGATGAGAATCTATTCGGCAATACATTCGCTTGCAAACGACTGGAAATCCTTCAAATAGGTTTCGCGCAAGGCATGAAATTTCTTTTGCTGATATATTATAGCGTCTGACCGTACTTTGTACGAGTAGCTGCTGCCGCTTCGTGGAATAGCACCTTGGAACCACTTGACAAAAAGGTTTCCAAATATATAGACGGAAATCCTATTCGTCTGGACGGGAAACCCAGAGCTTCTGGTGTACTCGACACAGTACGTGACGTCTTGTTGGCATATTTTCGATATTTCATGTTATTCTTTTCTATAGGTACGAGCTGCAGTCGCTCATGGAATTGCTGTTCCACCCGAATTCAAAGAGAAGGGTGTAATCGACGTGATTGTAAGTTCTTCATGGATCAACTTTCGAAATAACTATCTGATTTGTTTCCAGGAAAAGGCCGTTGTTCAGGAATGGTTTGCAGGTAATATACATTGTTCTTTCTGAGATAGTTCTATATATTGACGCCATTATTCCATGTTTTAGGGTGTGAGATATTTACTTCATCATGTCATTGAGTCTCCCTAACGTTATTCAATGCCAATTTCAGACAAGACAGAAGAGGTTCGTAGGCTAGGTATGGGCCGACTCTTATCAGACCTCTCTGGGAAGATGGGTACCAAAGCCGCCAAAGGAAACGAAGATCCCATGAAGATTCTAGTACACAGTACCCATGACACGGCCCTAGCAGGACTTTGCAATTCACTCGATGTCTACGATGAGAAGTAAGCTCCATTCCGTATTTGCTTATGGTTTTGAACGCAACTTGATTATTTTTCTAAGGTGGCCAGCATTCACCGCATCCATAACATTTGAGCTATTTCGTAAGGAGGACTCCAACGAAATAAACCGGGGCTCGACCTGGCAAACGATTATTTCGCCGTTCAGACGACCCAACTCCCCAGAGCATTGTAAGTTTCTCCCTCTCATGACTAGCTCTACTCGCCCATACTATGACTCAACTCTCACAGACGTACGCATGCGTTATCAAAACCGGAATCTGGTACTCCCAATATGCTCAGAAGATGGGAAGCACCTCGCAGGGTCGCCAGAATTCTGCACTCTGGCAGCATTCAGAGAAAGAGTTCAAGAACTCACACCCGTAGATTGGGATGCGGAATGTGTGCCCTCTGGACGGACATGATCTCAATCGTACAGTACATATTATATATGTAAAGCAATATGCAGTACTGTCACTGTTATGCTCATTAGAATGGTTATGAGTCAACGTGCAACTTACAAAGTGATCTATTCGTCTTACTGAAAGAAACGTACAGTTGTAAATCGCAAAGTCATTAAAAATTTGATAAGAAGCTTCTCAGTGACGAGAGTGGGATTCGAACCCACGCCCTTTCGGACCAGATAATGTTTTCACCATTGAGCTACCTTAGTCTGGCGCCTTAGACCACTCGGCCATCTCGCCATATCATTTTCGTGAGAATAAAGTACTCCCATGTAAACAAGCCATCAGACTTGACAAACAATGTTCAAGTTCGATTAACTAGTCTCTTCGCTATCTGGCTTTCTAACTATATATATAAATAATCAAGTAACCCTTGTGTTTCGCAGCCATAAAGTCCCCAAACAAACATACCAAGCTCTCTTCGGAATCAACTACAGCTTCTCAGGTAAAAGAAGCGAATGTGGGAGTCCGAAAGTGTAATCGGGGTAGGCTCAGTGACCTTCTAGAGATGCCATTGGATACTATAGTATGCGGGGTGGGCTCACACTTGGGGGGGCAGGGCATCTTTTGCTAACTTTAACCAAGGTTATGTACCATGTATACCCATTAGATCTCCTCCGCCTCACGCGAATTAACAAAGCTTTCCGTATCCTCTTACTAATGCATCGTAATTCAGCTCATAGTTAGTGACTTACTCAGACGTATACCGCGTTCCCAATAATGATCCCAAGCACAAGCACAAGGCCCAACGTTCAGTTCACATCATCAGTATGTGTCTTCAACTGAGTCGTTCGTAGGATCTCGTTCTCTGACGCTATTATATCTTCAAGATAGGACATTGACGATACTCTACTTCACTCATGTTGCGATTCGTGCTAGCGTAGCGAGCTTGCTCCTTCTATTGGTCAATGTTCACGAAAGCTATACACCTCGCACTGGCATAGCCTACCTTTCACAAATGCGTATTTCAAAACAATCCTATGACGTCGTGTTTCAGGCATAGTGAGTCAAGTGCGATCGATTGATCGATAGCGTGGTTCAGATCCGTTACAATTTGGATCCGTCTCCGTGTCGAATCTGTGAAGGACGCCAAAGCCATTACCAAATCGGGTAACAGAGGCTACGGATATGGCAATTTCACATCTTCACTCTTTGCATACTTTGCTAGTGAAAGATCGGTATTTACTCTCAACTGGTACTACGGTAGGGTGTCCTAGAAAAGAATGATCATTTGGCACACAACAGAGTGGTCTCTACCTGCTATAACAGCCGACTTGTGGTATTTGTATTTCGGGAATGCGCCAGATATCCGAGGCCATCTGTGCATAGCAAATACCAGGTACATAAATTTTTGGATTATACTTCCGTCACTGACTCACAACTCGTGTTTGCTGCCGTGAAGTGAGTGCTAAGTATATGGTCTGTCGGTGTGGTTTTACAATAGCAAGAGCGGCGAGGTTGGCTGACGATGTGGTCCTTGTGTGCTCTGGACAGTATTCGTGAGACGATATTCCCTATTGCTCATTAACGGTTGCTTAGAGTTTGCAGTGACTTAAGCTCAGTGGGAAGGCACGACGCTTTGGCGCCTAAGGGCAGCCCATTGTCGTGGGCGCTTGGGTGATGTGTCTATTGTTCGGGCGGGCGCCTGTGTGTGTGCGTTCTTTATTGTGTGCAAGACAAAAGAGTATGGAGGCCGATTGTGCTATTGTCAAAAGCAAGGCATGGACGGAGCGCATTCGTCGAGTCTCTTCCCTTTCTTCGCTCCCTTCTACCACCATCTTTTTGCACGATGCGTCGTCCGACGAGCCTCGTCGTCGACACGACTTTGAATGATACGAGTTCAACGACCTCTTCACCAGATGCCTCCACCACCAAACTCCCCATTTCTGCTGACTCTTCAGCGCATACAGTCAGCAATGTTCCCCAATCCCCTCAACCATCACAACCCTCTCCACCACAACCATCTATTCGTCTCCTCTTCTCGCTCATCTCAAGACGGCATTTCTTTATTCTTGTTCTCCCGGCCCTCCTTACCTCCATGTTTGCAGGAGGTGTCGCTCCTTTCATGACTCTTGTTGTCGGCCAAGTCTTTGACGCGCTCTCAAAATTCCCTACCACCCCCAATCCTTCTCAAGCTGACAAGCAGCAGCTTCTGCATGACGTTGGTATGACTGCCATTGAGCTTATTGCTCTCGCGATCGGTGCTCTTGCATTGAGCAGTCTTACTTCGTGTCTCTGGATTTGGACCGGTGAGCGCAACCTTCTTGCTGTGCGCAAAGAGGTCTACACCTCTGTCACACGCAAGGATATGATTTGGTTTGACACAAAGATGGGAGAAGAGAATTCTGTACAGACTGCCGAAGGTGATGGTCCTGTCGGCGCTGGAGGTCTTATGGCCAAGTTCGCAAGGTATGCCATACACTCTAATAAGTAATTATTCGCGTTCTAACTTCTCAAAGGGATACTGATGATGTTCGAATGGCTTCCTCTTTGGCCTCGGGAATGCTCGTTCAATACCTTACAACGACCATTACCTGCCTCATTATCGCATTCGTTCGTTCATGGTCCCTTTCACTGGTCATTCTTTCAGCACTCCCAGCCATGGTACTCATCCAGAGTCTCTCCCAAGCTTTTGTTGGTCCCAACCTCAACAATGAACGCACGCACACCGCTACTGCGGCTACATTGGTCGACCACGCCGTTTCGGCAATTGCTACGGTCAAAGCATTCAACGCGGAACTCACGAAGCAGAGACCATTGGTGTTGTACTTGACAAGCTGCAGACTGCCGCTAACAAGTGCATTGCCATCTGGGGTGTCACTGGTAGCATGGCCCAATTCGTTATGATGGCTATGTTCGTCCAAGGATTCTGGTTTGGCTCCAAACTTGTCCGTGAGGGCAAGAACAGCGTCGGTGATGTCACTACTGTTTTCTGGGCGTGTCTCATTGCATCCAGCAACCTTCAAATGTGCATCCCCCAGTTCATCATCTTCGCAAAGGGTAAATTCGCCATGGCTTCCCTCATTGCCCTCATGGAGTCCGCCGCTTCCCTTCCCGACAACCGTCACAGCTCTACCGTGCACACTCCTTTGTACCGCAAGAAATCCCGCCGTGCAACTGAGCTGCGCAAGATCATCCCATCGAGCTGTACTGGTGGACTCGAACTTATCGACGCGACTTTTGCTTACCCCTCTCGCCCTACCATGCCTGTCTTGACCAATGTCAGCGTTTTCCTTCCGGCCGGCGAGACGACCTTTATTGTCGGTGGAAGTGGATCTGGCAAATCTACCATTGCCCAACTTCTTCTCCGCATGTACGAATTACAAGAAGGCATGATCCGTCTCGACGAACAAGACATGGCCTACCTCGATGCTGAATGGACTCGTCAACACATTTCTGCTGTCTCTCAGAACTGCATTCTCTTTGACATGACTGTCCACGACAACGTCGCTATGGGACTCGCTGGTCCCGGAAGCAAACGTCGTCCGGAAGATGTGACAAGGGAAGAAGTTACTGCTGTCTGCAGGGCTGCATTGATGCACGAGTTCGTGCGTGACTTGCCCGACGGATACGATACTAAACTTGGTAACGGTGGTGCCAACTTGAGCGGTGGCCAGAAACAGAGATTGGCTATTGCCCGCGCATTATTGCGAAACCCGACTGTCCTTATTCTTGGTATGTTTCCCTTTGATCTCCCTTCAGAATATGTATTAATAATTTATGTACAGATGAAGCCACGTCCGCGCTGGACGCGACGTCTCGTCTCCTGGTCTTCGAAGCCATCAAAGCATGGCGCCGAAACATGACCACTGTTGTAATCACCCACGACCTCTCCCAAATCACCTCAGAAGATTTTGTCTACGTCCTCAAAGGCGGTGCTCTTGTCGAGCAAGGCTTCCGTGAAGATCTCGAGAAATGTTCCGACAGCGAGTTTTACTACATGGCTAACATGCAGGACGCTTCCGGCGGTTTCTTGCCCGAAGTCTCTCCTCTCGAGGAACACTCTGCTCCCTTGGAAGCTATCCTCGAACAACAGGAAGCCGAGAAGGACCGGGAACTCGAGGCTGTTGGCTTCAACCGACTTACGCTCAAGCACCAGAGCATCTACCGACCCCTCACTATGGGTAACTGGATGCTCGACGCTGTCGCTGATTTGACAAAACCAACTGCTACCGCCGACATCCCTACCATTGGTGCTCCTCGCCAACCTCATCAAACCAACCGATATTTCCCTGATGATGTTGTCAGCCCCAAGTCACCCCAAGACAACCGATTCTCCATTCACGTCGACATTCCTATCACTCCCACTCCCATCGCTATCTCTGGTGCTGCCAACCGCCGCTACAGTCTTCCATTCACCCCTATCTCTCCCACCTCCAAGTTCAGCTTCCCTGAATCGACTCTCGTTGACGAGGAAGAGACCATCGAGGAGAAGTATGGATACGTCGCGCGCCGTGTTACCAAGAGGCGAATGACCGACGCTTCCCTCAAGAAGCCCATCCGTGCTAAATGGGATGAGAAGAGTCTTGCCGCATTGCAATCGGTCAAAGTCGAATCCTCAACGCCCGAAGAAAACAAGGAGGAACTTTCTAATGACTCCCAAGTTCCTTTCTGGCGACTAATGAAGGATATCTACCCCACCGTACCCCACAAGCCTCTCATCCTATTCGGTCTTTTTATGTCCCTCGCAAGCGGTGCCATGACCCCCATCTTCTCATATCTCTTCTCCCGTCTCCTCTACGAGGTCTCTACCGGTGCTCAGAACGTCCATACCATTAACACATACGGCGGTATCGTTCTCTCCGTTGCAGCTCTCGATGGCCTAGTCTATGGTCTTAAATACTCCGTCATGGAATACGCAGCGATGAAATGGGTCACCAAGATTCGCAAGTCCTGCCTCAAACTCGTCCTTTCTCAGGACAAGAAGTGGTTCGACAAGACGGAGAACAGCTCTGTGCGATTGATGCAGATCCTCATTAAGGATGGGGACGATGCACGAACGCTCATTGCTACCGTTCTTTCGCAATTCTTTGTTGTCGCTGCCATGCTTGGTGTTGGACTCATCTGGGCTTTTGTTGTCGGATGGCAACTCACTCTTATTGGTATCGCCATTGCGCCTGTATTCGCTCTTGCGATGACAATTCAGACCAACTTGGTTTCCAAGTGCGAGTTCCGCAACAAGCGTGCACGCGAGGACGTTGCCAAAGGTTACTACGATGTACGTTTAACCCGTTCTATTT